TATTGGTATATTAAAATTATTTTCAATATTTGAAGATAATCGATATTGAATATAATCTTTCATTATGTCTAAATTTTCAAGTCTTTTTTTTTGAATTATAGCTTTTTTGCCATTCAAATATATAGAAACTCTTTGACTATTTTATAAAAGCAAATCCAATCGTAAACCATATTGTTATTTTAAAGATGGTGCATTTTTCTCTGGATCAATATACATACTATATATTTTTTATGAGATCTCATCATTTTTTTCTAAATTTCTAAAATATTAAGCTAAATTAATAAAGCTAGATGATAAAGAATTTGTATCAAATTTATCTTAATGATAAAGAACAAAATTAGGTTAAAATGTATAATTTTGGCATTATTGTGTTATCAATAAATGATGATATTTGGATGCAAATCTAAAAGGATTATATTATTTAATACCTGAAATTATCAATCATTTCTTTATACTTATCTTCTTTAGATAAAAAGGTGCCCAACTTTATTTCAATTTCTAATTATTAATCCGAAGTGAGATTTGATGCTTATTCAAAAATACTTTTAAAATATCTGATGATTTGTTCTTAATATTCATCATAATCAACTCTAATAGGAATGAGCTGATTTCTGATAGTTGGATCTCTTTGTTTTAAGTATGATAATATATCATAAGAAGGTTAATTCATAAAAATAAATTATAAAGTATTAAAATGGAAATTAATTCTGATTGGATCTATTTGTATATGTATAAATTTTAAATATAAATATATGTTATAAAGTATATATAATCTATGAATTATTCACTAAATAATTACTTATTCGAATAAATACTACAATGAAAAAGTAGAGTCTATGAAGATATATATTAATACTTATATTTTGAGAGTATTTACAGTAAATAAGTGAAGTAGTCATTTTTGATTGAAATTTTGGATTAGTTTTGAGAATTCTAGATTTTAATTATTATTGCCAATTGTTATATTTAATCTCTTTTTTTAAATTAAGGAACAAAATAAAAATTGATATATATATATATTTATCTAATTAATTAATTGTACTCTTCTTTTACTCTAGTTAATGTATCAATCAATTTACTTATATTAATTAATTATGATTAAAGTGGATATCTTTAGTAAAAGTGATAGAATTCATAATGAAATTTTTCTTTCTCCAAAAAATTCACAAATATTTAAAATATCTCTTTTTCTTAAACATTACTTTAATATTTGTTATATAACTCAGAAATAGGAATTGATTTTCTAGAATAAAAAATAACAAATATTTCATATATTTCAAATATCATTTATAACCTAACCCATTTTAAACAATCTATATATTAAGATTTATTAATCTAAATTCTGAAGAAATCAAACTTATTTTCATATGTTTTCCTAATAATTACAAATATATTTACTTAAGACTGTCGTATTCTTTTGGGTTAAATTAAACATTCCTATCATCTAATTGAATGAGAGAATGTATCATGTATCACAAAATTGAAAGGATTATGTATTTATAAGGAAGTAATTTTGTAAATTGCAAATTCTTTAGATTTATGTCATTTGATTTGTTAATGATAATTGATAATATATTTTATACGACGTATCAAAATGATTAAATATTCATCTTTTAATTCTCTTTCCTTGATTTCAGCTATCTTAATTAATTAAATTAAATGGATATACTCCTTCCATAGACACAAGGTGAATTAGTATACATTTATATTTCTGCTCGTAATCTTCGAAATTTGGATAATTCGAATATATTAGATTTCAGATGTCGAGTATACCTTAAGGATGATTTCATAGGAGAAACAGAAGTCTCTAAATCTACACTTGATCCTGATTTCAAATAGCCTATTCCAATTATGTATAAGTTTAACAAAAAATAAAAACTGATTTTCCAAATCGTAGATGCTGATTAAGAATTGTCTAATCAATTAATAACTTAATCAAATTAAGCAGCTCTTGTTGGATCATGTAAATAACCTCTAGCTAAACTAATGGGTGCTAGAAATTCATTGAGTTAACTAAATCTAATGAAGGGTGATGATATTGTTGGAAATATCATTATTCATGTAAGCAAAAAAGGACCCTAAGTTATTGGATAGAATTAATAAGGATCTAAAGTTACTGAAATAAAATGGCGTTGGGCTGGTATAAAACAAATTTAATTATAATAGGTGTCAAATTGCTTGACTTAGATTTTTTCACTAAATCAGATCCATTTGCTAAATTTTATTCAGTCAATGGTGATTAAATTGATTTGATTCATTAAACTGAAATCATAAAAAATAATTTGAATCCAAATTGGATGGGATGGGAAACTACTGAAGAATAAGCATTTAAGAATTCTAAGAAACTATTTGTAGAAATTATGGATTATGATAAGTTAGGATCTTAATAGGTTAAAATATATATTACCATTAGATTGGACATGTAACAATTGATTATAATGAAATTAAAAATGATAAAAGAACAGAATTTCCGTTATTGACTCCCAAAGGAAAAAATGCTGGTACATTAAAAATATTAGAATTAACAATTATTGAACCACCTATTTAGGCTACAGAAATAGTATAAGAAGAACCAAAAGATCCTACATTTCTAGACTATTTAATGGGTGGATGGCAAATGTCATTATCAATAGGTATTGATTTTACATTTTCAAATTAACCTATTACTAAACCTGATTCACTACATAAAATTGATCCAAATAAACTAAATTATTATTAATAAGCAATCAAAGTAATTGGAGGAGAGATTGTTGCATTTGATTATGATAAAGAAGTACCAGTTTATGGATTTGGAGGAACACCAAAATTACCTACTTATACAAAAAATACAATGGATGATTGTTTCCCTTTGAATGGAAATAAAGATAGTCCAAGTTGTTAAGATATAAAAGGAATTTTAGATGCATATGTTAATGCAGTACCATAAATTGTTTTTTCAGGACCTACATTCATTGCAAATGTATTGAGTAAAGCACATTTATTTGCAGTAGAAAATGCAAAAAAGAATATATATACAGTAGCTATAATTCTAACTGATGGATAAATAGAAGATCAGTAATTTATATATATGATTATTTAGAGATGATGCTATAAAAGTATTATTACAATGTCAGAATTTACCAATGTCTATTGTCATAATTGGAGTTGGAGATGAAAACTTTAAATATATGAAATAATTTGATGATCCTAAATTCCTTAAGAAACATGCTAAAGAAAATCAAACAGTTAGAGATATCATTCAATTTGTTTCATATTAAGATTTTAAGAATGACATTGAATAAATGAGTTCTGCAGTCTTGGATCAATTACCTAAATAATTCATGGATTATATGCATATCAATAACATTTAACCTATTAAAATGTCATCAGTACACATTAGTAAAGCTATGTGATATAATATATCATAATAAAAAATTAATGATATTTATAATATTTTTGGATGAATATCAAACTTGGATGTTTGAGAAATCTACACTGTTAACAAGGGCCAAAGCTTATTCACTAACTCCCAATTCTCTAGTGAATTCATTCTTGGTATTGGTATAGATATCAGTTTCTTCAGCATAAGTGTTATTTTCTAATTCTAATTCAGCAGTGTATTATTTTTAATCAGCTGCTCTTTAATCTCTGAATTCAACCATTGAATCAATTTTCTCTATTAAAAATATATATCAAATATATTTACCATTGGTAGCAGTCAAATCAACTGTTGCTCTATTAATTTATCTTTAGAATTCACTATATTCATCATCTAATTATTCAAGATATGCTTCATGATCAATAACATCTTAAGCTTCTTAGGCTGTTAAATCATTGATTTAATCAACAACTGCATTTCTAAATTCGTTGAGAGCATCAACAATATTTTTCAAAACATCTTAATTAGAGAAATTTTAATTTGAAGCTAAATTAATCAAAGCTTTAATCATTGGTGCCATTCTTGATCTTGATTTAATTTTGTTTTCAATATTTTTGAGTGTATTTTAGAATCTTCTGATTTATAATAATGATGGATTTGTAAGTGAAGCAAGAAGAGCTAAAGCATCATCAACTGAAGCAGTAGCATCATTTAATTCAGCAACTTATGCTTCAAATGCTTCATGTTCTTATTCTCTAACTAAGATTGCTTCATCATAATTCTTTCTATTTTCTTCTTAATATCCAACAACTGAATCAATCTTGCTTTAGATTTAAGCTCTTCTTGGATAAAGAAGATTGTCTAAAGTATCTTATGTATTATTGACATCTAAATTAATATAAATTATTAATTACCAATTACAGCATCTTGGATGTCTTATTCCAAACTGACTACTAAGGCATTATGTTCATTTGTTCTCACTTAGAAATTGAATTCTAATTCTTCTAATTCCTCTTCTAAATCATTAATAAGTTCTTCAATAGCATCAATTAATTCTTGAACTGGTCCTCCAGCCATAGAATGTAATTCTACTAAATGAAGTAAGGCTTTTCCATAAGTGCTTTTAGCTAAATCAGCTTGCACTTTAGCCATATTTCTCTCTTGGACTCTAGCTGTGAAAGCTACAGCAATGAGGGCGATCAGAATAATTGATTTCATTTATTTAATTATTAATCATATAAAAACGAATTCTTTGAATTATCAACCATTAATTAATCATACTCTTTCTTCAATCTTTCATTATATAATTATTATATATAATAATTACTTTCATATATGCATACTTTCTACATATTCATAACTAATACTAAATTTAATATCAATTAATCTTAAATTCAAAAACGAATACTTAACTTTTATATTGATCATAATATTTTAAGATAAAACTTAAACTTTTTGAATACTTTAATATATCTAATTTATTACATCTATATTTAAAAGTCATTGAAGAATATAATTAACATATGAATATATAAAGATTATAAAACTGAATATTATAAATATAGATTCAATATATATATATATGAATCCTAGAATAAATGGTTTATTTATGATTATAAATATCAAACGAATTCTTTTGTTTTCATAAGAACAATTCTAAAGATAATTATATCTAATGACTATGCTTAGATTTAGAATTGAAAAGATTTCTCATCTCATTCAACGAATTGAGTATTTTCTTTTAAGCATTAGTAAGTAAATGTTTATGATCTATAATTTACCAATCACTCACATCTGTTTCTTCTTCTATAGTTTATATCATGAAATCAGAATCTGAATTTTGACTCCTTACTCTCTCTATTTAATTTTCATCTATCAAGAAAGTCACTTCTTCCTCAACTGAATACATAAGAACTTTTCTCTCAGGTGTTCTTATTTAATCAGAATTGAATCTCACTAATCTATTATTTTACTTTGGGATCATTGTTTATTCTTAAAATGATAAAGATCTTGGTTTTCCTACTTCTTATGTCAAATTTAAGTGTTAATGGAAACGTACAATTATTGATACATCATCATCTATGTTTAAATGATAGCATTTATATAATTCTAAATTCTAATTTTTACCATTATGATCAATAACGATTTAAAGTAAGTAGTTTTAATAACACTCTTACTTAATCAAGAAATTTTAATATAATGAGCTCTTTGTAAACATACAACATAGTGAATTTTTTTCAAAAGTACATTGTTTGCCACATGGCATATTTCGGTTGTTATTACTTTTAAATTACAAAATCCATTATTCAGCTAAAATTCTCCTTTGACTCATATTATGTTCTAAGTAAATTGATATACTTAAGCTAACTTCATTTGATTTTGAGTTTAGTGTCTAATTAAAAATATGCTGATTGCCAACATCTTAATTCAGACATACTCTTTTATTTAGTATAGTTGTCATGTATTCATTCAGAATAAATTTATGATTTTACATAGCTTAAATTAGATGCTCCTTTTTTTAAATTGTTATAATTTATAAATTAGACATGCAGACCCATTTCTATTTAACTATCAGTTTTTTTCAGATTAATTTTTCAGTGACACTTAGTTGAAATCTACTAAAAAGAAGAACTATTGTAAAACTTATTTAAGCATATGATGGCTTTTAGTATCTTGATGAGTCATGAACTTTAAATTTTATATACTATACTATGCAATTGTGTTCAATAAAATAAATAAAATTAATATGTAATATGAAATAAAAATAATTAATATTTTTAGACACTATCATAATTATTGTTCCATAACATATACAAATATCTATTAATCCAATTATAAATTTTATGAATAATATATTATATTTATATTTATATATTTGATTTTGTAAAACATAGAATTAATTAATAACATAATATAGAAATTGAATACTAAAACAATTAAATAATAATAAAATATATTTTATTAACATCAAGTATATATACTTGAAACTTATTCAATCTAAAATAGCAAGCTTCAGTTATGAACTGATAAAATGAAATTTAATATGAAAATTCATAAATGTAATTGATTGATAATAAGTACTTTAGATCAAAATAATTTAAAAACAAAAAATTATACTAATTTTAAATTGATGATGTTATTAATTTTATTTATAAATCAAAATGTTTAGCGTATTTCATACTTGCAAGAGTAAAACATCGAGTTTTGACAATACCAAATTGCGTTGTCATTCAACTAGACTATCTTAAACTTAATATTCTTGTCCAAGAGTAACAGAGGAAGACAAATTATTATTTGAGAATACTTAATTAAAATATCAACTTCATTAATTGGACGAAGAGTTTAAAATGTATAAACTAAAATAAAGATAAATGAAAGTAAGTAATACACATATAAATATAGACTGGATAAGGCTTTAGTGGAGAAATATGTTTTTAATTGTAGAATCTGCGAAAGTTATAAACTCTAAATAAGTAACTTGAACAAGAATTATTATAAAAGGTTAAGGATATTGAAGAGATGAAAAAATCAATGAACCTTACCAAATAGTAAGAATTACAAATAGAATGTAAGGAATATCATTCAGAATGTTTACGATTAAGAAAATAAATTTAATAACTTAATTAGCTTTTAAATTATAAACTTAATGGAGTTAATTTGAAAGATCTCTATGAAGATTTAGAAAAAAGACTTAAAAAATTATAAGTTGAAACTAAATAATAATAATAACTAATTTAATAATTACAATCTGATATTACAAAATATAAAAATTAGATTGAAAAATTAGAACTTGAAAATAAACATCTTGATCGAGAAAATAAAAAATAATTATTATTAATTAGTCAAGTATAAGTGCCATAATAAAATAAATTTAAGAATAGACTACAAATTTATAGAGATGAAGTTGAAATTACTAAATTGTAAGCAAAAATAATGGATTTACAATAACAACTTTCAAATTAACAGAATTATAAGGAATAATATATATAATAACTCTTAAAAATTATTAATGAAAAAGATGATTAATTATAAGCTTATGAATTGTCAAATCCAAATCTAATTATTAAATAAGCAACTGAAACGTAATAATTGATTTTAGATTAAAAGTATTAACAATGTGTATAGAATATTTAAAGTGAGAAAACTATTTAAGATGAAATAATCAGTGATATGCCATCCTAATTGAATCTTGTTAGATAACCAAGTATTCGAAAAAAATAACATGTTATTGATTATTAGAAATCATTTCAAATTGAAATGACAAGCATAAATGGATATGAAGAAGATTCACCATTAAATGAATAAGAAGATGATGATTCAACTAATAAAAAAGAATTTAAAATTTAAAAGCTTCCAAAAGTCAATTATTATGAAGTTAAAACAATAGGTTAAAAGTTAAAATTTCAATTTTAATTGAAATCGATCCCTCTAATATATTTAGATCAACTTTTGAATTACTATGATGATTCTGAAATTACAATTGAAGAAATTATAGACATCCTATCAAAAGAACCTTTTATGATGGATGATGAGAGAGAAAAGCTTTTAGTAGCTAGATATCTTGTTGAAGATAATACTTAAGATTATGTTCTACATAGTCTAAAAAATTCTAATTCTATATCAATAATTAAAAGTGTTTTGAAATAATTATTAGGTAAATATGAGTTATTTTCTATTTCGGAAAAATAGAATATAGAATAACATCTAAAACAAATTTTCATTAAACATTAATACAAAATCTAAGATACTCTATCTTAATTGGCAATAAAAAAGAATTATTCAAAGTAAGGAGAATGTGATAATTCTGATTATGAAGCAACTTTGAGATTTTGTGAAATATAATTATAACCTAGATTAATTGAATATATGGAAATGATAAATTACAATTTAGGAAAGAATTTAGATAGAATTAATTATAAAATTCTAATCTAATATTTTTGCAATACTTAATCATGATTTTAAATTGTTTATACATTTTTATGCTTAATTATCTATATCTATGTATTATGTATATATATTTAATATATAAAAGTATAATAATTTAAATTATAAATGTTTATGATTAATTCCTATATAAAATATTATTTTTAATAATTTTCTTATTGAGATTTTTATAAATACTTTTCATATTTTTATACAAATGGAATCCTAAATTAAAAAGAAAACATGCAAAATAATGAAAATAATTCAGGTTTCATTGAAATATACATATTTTGCAAATGATTTAGATAAGTACTTAAAAAATGTAAATTAGAGTAATTTGCTATAATACAAATTCATATAAATGTCTTATATTTAATTTGATTTTATGCAAGCTTATTAGAAAAATTGAATTGAAGAAATTACCATGCTTAATATAAATTATAGATAAAAACAAGTATTATTTAGTTAAATTCAATAGATTATTGGTCGGAATATCAAATGGCGATATACAAATATTTGATATATCTACTGTAAAGTTAATTAATAATCTTGTTGGTCATGCTTATTAAGTTATACAAATATAATCATTTGCTGATTAATACCTGATTACTCTATGCTAGAATAAAGAAGCAAGAATTTGGAATACTAGGAATTTACAATTTATATTCAAAATCAATTAGAATATTGCTGTAAAGCAAATTTACTTTTCATAAGATGGATAAAAGGTGATTTTAGTAGCCTATGATGGATCAGTCAAAGTATATATTATCATATCTTAGATATATTAAACTTAAACAGGAGAAATTATAAATTAAATAAATTACAACTTATAACAAGTTTAATTTATTAAATTTTTTTAACAAATTGATAAATGTTTAATAGCATATTAAAATAAATAAGAGAGGTAATATATACAATTATCTATTACTAGATATGTTCTTCTATGGGATTTAAAAGATTATACATATAAATAAATTCTTCAAGGATTTAAGAAGAGGATTAAAGATGCATATTGCAATTCAAATAGTAAAAATAATAATAATTTTTAAAAGATTTCGATTTAGCAGTGGCTATTTTAAATTCATCTAAAATGATTATATATAATATATTGACTGAAGAAATTAAAGCTGAAATAGAAGGACTGAATGATTCAAAGATTAATGTGTAATTTACTAAAAATAATCATCTTATTATTAATGATCAATAGAATATATTAGTTTAGTATTTATTTATTTTATATATAAAGTACTGATAAAGGAAAATTTAAATAATAATTAAATACATTTATTGAGAAGAAGGCTTATTATATAAAAGTTTTAGCAAATTAAAATCATATTAATAATAGAAAGAAATTGTTAAACAATGATTAAATAATAACTGAGGATGAATAAAAAAATTATAGTTAGATTTGGCTTGAAACACCTTCCTATTTTGCAGCTTTAATATGATATTTAGATATTCAATAATATAATCATATTATTTAATATAAAAATAAATTAAATCTTTTTTAATCTTATTATAATAGTGAATCCAATAAAATATTATTTAACTTAAACTATAATTTAAGAATAATAAATAATAATTAATGAATTAAATATTAATTTAATATTTTTATTTATCTCATCTCATCTAATATTAATAAATAATTTGTATGTTTTTAATAATTAAAATATTAAAATGTAATATACTTCTTCATAATTAATTCGAAATCAAACTCCTGAAGACTTACTTTAATCATATTCAAATTAAAAAAGAGAAAATGTATCTACAAATTCTTAGATGTAATCTTAAATAAAAGTAAACCATATTTGTTAATTATGAGCATTCAATTGAATTACTTAAAAATAATCTAATAAGTCATTAAACATTTATTGATTCTACTAATAGAAATTAAGATTAACTAGTTTACTAATTATTTTAACTTTAATAGAAAGTACGTGAATGTGAAAAATAATTCATTAAAAAAGAATTATTTTTGTAAGAATAGATACTTTAGACATAAAAGAACTTTGATAAAACAATGAATTTAATGAAATTTAAATATTAAATGTAAATAGAAGATCTTAATTCTGAATTAAAGGTGAAAGATGAAGAAATCTATAGTCTTAATTTATAATTATAACAAAGTAATTTAAATAAAATTGAGTAAAGATTATATTCATCATAATAAAAGTAAAAATCAATAACAAGTGAATATTTAAATACAGAAAGTTCAAGAATAAATTATAAATTTAAAATACCAAGAAGAACTTCAGATGTTAGTAAATATTAGAAAGAATTAAATAGAATTAAAATTCAAACAGCTTAATTTGCTTAAAAATTTGAAAATGAGAAAACTCAAATTTAATCAGATATTGTCTAATTAAAAAATTAGAATTAAATTATTTAAGGTTATTTGAACTTTAATAAAGTTTAAAGTACTGATCAATCATAACATAATTCACCAATAAAATTCAATAATATGTTGACAAATAGATAGAATAGTTCTTCATTTGGAATTAAAGAATATTTCTCTAGCTAATAGTGATAATCTTTTTTGTATTTATTTTTAATAGCTATAAATTGAATCAATATTTTGTGAGGAGTTCCTCCATATATAAAATTTAATCAAAGAGTTACCAATAGCCAATGTTTTCTTCTCCTAATAACTACATTAATTGTTTTCTTAAATCTTAAGTAGAAAATTCTAAAAATATATATAATATAAATTATTACATTTAGATTTCATTAATTATAAAGCCTTTTCAACAAGATTGTTACCTAATCCACCTTCACATCTATGTTTTAATAGTTTAATTCTATCTTAAATTCGAGCAACAATAGAATTAATTGGTTTTATTTCATCCTAATCAATTCCATCATTATCTCCTTAATCTTCTTCATCCAAATCTTCATTCTCTAATTCCTCTTCAACTAATGGAATAACTTATCCAGCTACATTTATAACAATATTCTTACTTTCTAAAGCTTTGATTTACATATTTTACACTTATCTATTTTGTTAAAGAGACTAACTAATTTCTTATATTTTCAAAGTTTTATCTTTTAATTTAGTTTTCATTAAATCAAGTTTTTAATCAACATCACCTTCTTCTTCATACTCTTCTTCATTTTCAATTTCCTGAATAGCATTAACTCCATCACTATCTTCAGAATCATAAAATTCTTCTTGAACTTTTAATGAACTATCCTTTGATTAACGATATTATGCTTATTTTCTTTCTTAAGCTATTTTTCTATTTTAATAACTTTCTTTATATATTTATTATCTTTCCTTTTCTTCTTATATAATTTTTTCTTCATCTCTTTTTTGTTTCTTCTAAATCACCCTTTCTTTAGCACTAATTGTACTATCATCTCTCAATCTATCTTTTTCAAGTGATAAACTTCTTTCTTTTTATTTCTATCTTATTTCATTAGGTCTTCTATCTCTTTCCAAAGAAACTTTTCTTTAATTAACTCTATGATAATCTGGTCTTTATTAAGTATCTGTTTTTTATGTATTTTCTGATTTATTTGTTATGATTTCTGTTGTAGCTTTAGAATTTGAATTAGTTTCATTTTATTTTGTATTTTGTATAGGTACTTTTTATTATTTCTTTTATTCTAATCTTTTAATTTCTTCTTCTAATTTCTTTTTTTCTATTTATTCTTTTTTTAATTATTTTAATTTTAATGCTTCTTATTCTTATATTTAAATTAACATTCTTTATTCTGCTCTTCCTCCTTTTTCTAATTCATTTTTTATATCTGCTATTGTAGCACCTTATGCAATTTATTTTTGATAATGTTAAATAAGTGGTAAGACTCCAATTTATTCAGCCTACTCATATAATGTATCCACATACATATCATCTAAATCAGCTGATTATGGTTCTAAGAGGATTATTGATTATAAAAAATACCACTAAAAACTTCAAGCATGTAATAAATAATCCTTAATTTTATAATTGGTTTATGAACTATCTCCTATATAGTAGGTCTAGCCTTAGGATTAGTATTAAGCATCTTATTTATTAGATCTCTTAATGCCTTAGAATAGGTTGGACTGATGGATGAATAAGAACCTTTTAAAATTTTCAATGCCAATCCATTCATTGATTATGCATCAAAGGCATGTCTCAGATTACACATTTCATATAGACAACATCCAAGTGCCCATACATCACTCTTATATGAATATGGTTTATATTTAAATAATTCTGGACTCATATAATATGGAGTTCCAATACAAGTGTTAGCCAAATCACGAGTAGAATCAAGTACTTTTGCAATTCCAAAATCACCTAATCTAACTCTACCATTTTTAAGAAATATATTTTATGTTTTCATATCTCTATGTAAAATCTTTTGTTCATGTAAATAACATAAAGCCAATGTCATTTATGCAAACCAATCTAAAATTTGTGATTCAGGAAAACTTTTCTTATTTCGAATCTTTTAATAAATATCTCCACCTTCACAATGAATCATTACAATATTTAAGTATTATTCTCTATCTAAATATGAATCTTTATAGGCTACAATATTTGGATGTCTCAACTTTTATAATAATCTAACTTCATTTTCTGTATTTTCACGATCCTTCTAACTCATGTCTCTTATTTTGATACGTTTAATAACATAAAGACGATCTTCTCTTTTATTTCTAGCCAAATACACTTAACCAAATGATCCAGAGCCAATTGATTTGACTATTTCATAAAATTCCATTATTTTAAATATTCATAATAATATAGTTAATTAATATGAATAATAATTTAAATTATATTAGTAATAATAACAGATTATAATCATTAAACTAATTGCCAAGGACTCATTCCATTACAATTAAGTAAGTTTTATGCTCCTTGTGCAATTAAGAGATCAGCAACATTATAGAATTAATACGCTATTGCTTTATGTAAAGCAGTGTCTCCATTAATCTAATTTAAATAATAAAATCAATTAATACATTTTACAAATTGACTTTTGCACCTTTACTTAATAAGAATTCTACAATCTCAATATTTCCAGTCTAAGCTGCTAAAATTAAATAAGTATTGTTTCCTTTTAAAAATTCATTAATTGACAAATTTGGATTGTTAGAAAATTCTTCTTTAAGCTAAAATTATAATATAATATAAAGTACTTCTGATAATTTTTATTCTTCAATAAGTAATTTGATTTTCTCTATAAATGGAACAGATTATCTTCTACGAGCTTCAGTAATTTATGTTCTCATTTATAGAGCATGCTTACTCATAGAGGAAATAACAGTAATAGCATTTCTTCTTTCTTAACTCTTTGTGGGTTTAAGTAAATCCTCCTCTTTTTAAGAAATTGGCATTGTTGTATTTTACATAGTCTAAGTAGCCTTCATTTTATTTGATTATGTAGTATTTAAATTACTTGTTTCTTTAAAACTAGTCTCATCCTAAGGAGAATCGTTTCTTTTTTATATAACATTGGTTTAACTTGTAGTAGCTTATAGTAATTATTTAATAGGTTTTGAATTATTAGATGTATAATTTATTGTTTAATGTCTAGGTGAAGATATAATTTTTTTTGAATTTATATTTTAATTTTGTATTTCATTTGATGAAAGTTGATCATGATTAGATTTCTTATTTTAATTAGGTTTTGCAGATTTAATATAGATTTTTGCCATATCTATTTTAATAATAGATTATTGTGTTTGTGTCTATTCATCTAATTCAATCAAACCATAATCATTAATTAGATTATCAATTTCATGTTGATCTTGAAATATACCTGTCAAAATATCATTATATTAATGCAATATTATTTTAGTTTGAGCTATTTAATCTCTTCTTTTACGATATCTATATAAAGAATTAACTTTGTTAATAATCTGATTATCATGATAGATATCATAAGGATCTTACATCATCGTATTATTAATTAAGGAATTTTCATCTTGTAGCATGATATTTCGAGTTTCTGGATGTATAGTATTTATTATGAAGTTAAGATATGAAGTCAGATTTATTATTTTAAGTTTAGATTAACATTAATTAATTTCATAGTCTCTATCAAAACTATCTAGATCATCTTATGAATAATCAATAAATGATTAATCGAAATAATAGATTTAATGAAATTGAAATCTATTATACTCTATAGTAATTTAAAATATTGGATTTGATAACTACTCAGGATAGATATTAATTGGATTGGTATAACATGATTAGAGTCTACTAGATTGTTAACTTTCACATATTTTTATAATATCTATAGAAGTAAGTCTCTCTTGTATTAATTGTAAATGCACTAAGATATTTTACTCTAATTTTATAAAGATTTGTGACATCTTGTTTTGTAAATACATTTTCATAAACCTACTAGTCTTACTATATAAAATAATTACTTTTTATATATTATAGAATTAACGAGCATCTTCATTTAGATTTTCTTAATCTGATATACCAATTATCTTTTATATAGATTTAGAGAATTTGGATGTCATCTTCTTAGGTTATAAGGATATCTATATTTATTTTAAATTAACTTACAAATTATAATGCCTACTTTAAAACATGTTTGGGTTTATCAGTATATTCTTATATTTCTTCATTCACATCTTCCAATTTCTTACAATAATCTGGAACACTGAATGAATAGACTCCTATTTAATTTTCTGGATTGTAAACAGAAATAGTCAATTTTTTTCTATTGATTTGCATTGTAGGTTACAGTTATACCTTTTTCTCCTCAATTGGATCCAACATTATTGTACTATTAGCTTTATAAAGTTAAGTAGGCTAATTTTGAAATTGAATAGTTGACAAATGATTAGTTAATGTAAATCGAGGACTTGTCATTTAAGTTTTAAATTTATCTGATAAGAAACTATTCTCATTTGTTTGAATTTCATTATGTTAGATATGACTAGTAGTTATTATTTATCTAATATTCTTTAAGAATATTTAGATATTCATATTATCTTCTGATTAAATAGACTAACTCTCAATATTCAAACTCTACTTAAAAATCTTCTTTCTCCAATGATCTTTAAATTTAAGTGGTCCTTCTAATGTAAAGTTTTTTTCCTCATCCTTCTTTGATTTTCCTTTAGAGATAATGTTCTTGAACTATGAAGAAGCAATCAATTCAAAAATAGACTATTGATTCTTCATTTCATTATCTGGAACACTCTCTAAGGTTTTCATTGAAGTTCCTTTCAAAATCTTTCTTGCAACTACTCTACCACTCAATGGAGCAGACACTTAAATTTAAGGAATTTATGCTAAAGGTAGAGAAGATAAAGTATTTTTAATAAACTATCTTTAGGTGATTCTCCCTATAAAGAAAGTTTTGGTATTTGAAATTTCTTAAACTGTATGTAGAGATTTGACCTTATTATGGCCTTTGTTTCTCATTTTATTATAATAAAAATGCTATTTTACTTTTGTAAACTAATTATTTAGAACACTACCCGTATATTTATAATGATAAATACATAGAATTATCAAAAAAAATATAAATTTATACATTAATTTTTAATTTTATCATCCTAAAAATGAATAATAAATTGTCGATATTATTGTTATTGTTGCTAACAGTAGAATAGAGAAGTTTATAATACAATTCAAATTACAAATAGGTTCATCTTCATTTTAAGCTATACATATACTTAATATTACTTAAATTATTTAATGTAGAACTAGTTTATTCATTTGAGAGATTTTTATTCATCATAATTGGACTTGAATTACTTTATTACATTGATAGAGCAACCTTTTTAACACATTTATGTTTTGCATGCTAAAATTATTCTCATCACAATTACCTTTTAAGGTATAATTTTTCTCTTGAATTATAATTTAGCCAATTCTTATCGAGCTTTCTCTTATTATTAAATCTATGTTGCTTTATCTACAAAATTCCACTAATTCTACTTTAACCATTCTCTAATGTCTTCCAAATTCTATTCTTAAATTCTCTTAAATTCATTTTACACTTATTGATCCAATAGATCTATACCAAACTTTTATGCAAATTGATATAATTTCTTTCATAAATAGATATACACTTTACTTTTTTTGGTCTATTAAAATCTAATTGAGATATCTTCTCTAATTATTTTTTAGCTATCAATGCTTTTTATAATTTATCCTTTAAATCTTCTGCTTCTTTCATCTAACCATTTTATTAATAGGTCTTCACCATTTCCATTCCCCTTGTTTCAATAAATCTACCTAATTCCTAAACTTCTTTAGGTATTGGTTTCTTTGGATCTAATTCATAACTAAGCTCTTAATCATTATCTTGATATGCAAATTAAGCCATGAAATCTTAGGGTAAATCCTCTTCTTCATAGACATCATATTGAGAAGTGTCTTATTAATCATACAATTCTTTGTCACTATCATATTCTTCAAACTTTTGTAATTATGCTTTAACCATTTCATAGACTTTTGTTATGCCTTCATTAAGTGGATCCAATTACTAGGCAAATTTTAGATCCTTACAAATCATTTAACAATCTAATTGAGTTACTTACTCTGATAAAAACCGAGACTAATTTATCTAAAAAGTTAAGTACCTAAGCTCTTAAAATAAAGGCACCTGCACAAAGAGGATTTAATTATTACCAATAATCACACATCTTAGTACAAGCTGCTTATTCACGTAAAATGTAATAGCATTTACCCATCAATTCAAATAACTTTTTCCAATGGTCTTAAAAGCAATGTTAATTAAAAATGTATACCTTTTATTTATTATTGTTCAGGGTAATGTCTACAATTTAAATCTTCGAATTTAGTATCCTCCCATCTTTTTGATTATTTAGCTTCTGCAAACACAGACATGCATATCTCAAATTAATCTATTGCGTTTTAATATTGATCTAGAGTATTAAATTTTGTATGGTACTTAGATTAAAGAATTTTAAACCTCTTTCGAATAAAAGTTCATAGATTTTCATTTTTTATGAGAAAGATTGACGTGATAATTGCTTACAAGCTAGACGAAGCATAATTAGTTTATTATTTAATTAAAAAATCTTAGATTTTGTGTCCAACTTTTGATAAAATATTTATTTCAATAAAGAAATGATCTTCAAATTGTAATCTCTTTTAATTTTATTTATATAAGACAACTCCTTCTATATAGAACATTAGTCTTTAATAATTAAATAACAATAATAAACGAATAATAATTATAATTAATAATGTCAACTAAATTTAGTTAATCGGTGAGATTCTTACTTTGGGTGATACATAAAAATATACTTGGAAGAATTGCATTATTGAAGTCGTAATGTCCCTCACCTAATTGAGATCCAAATAATTTTCACAACTTGAAGTTTTGCAAGTAAATGCATTAATGCAACGTTTTCAATACTGTAGAGACATGATAACAAAAGAAGGATTGAGAAATATATTAAATTTTGTGAATTCTTGTACATAATTTATTGTAGAACAGGGGAGAGAGTAATTCGTAAAGTATAATAAAGAGTTCGGTTTTACATGATCTTGTAAGGATAAGTTTAATTGGAAAGCTACAAACCTAAGAATTGTAAGGCTTAATTGTTGATGGATTAATAGAAAGTACGATAGTCATGTTTATTAAAAGGAAACTTTTCCTAATTATGAAGATGATACTTTATTTAGTGCTTTCAGTTTTAAAGAATTGAATCCAGGAGATTATTTTGGTGATATGTCATTATTAGATAATGGATAAGTGTCATGCACTATTATTTGTAAGACTTTTTGTTAGTGTGTGTGTATGGATAAACAATAATTTGTAAAATTTATTGGGAAATCAGTACCAATGTTATAGAAATTCAAAATATTATAAGAATAATCAATCTTTAATTGTTGAACAGATGATGAATTAAGAGCCTTAAGTTATGAATTCAAGAATAGAACATATCATTAGGAAGAGTACTTATATTAAGAAGGTTAAAGGAAAGTTTAAGTTTTCTTGTTAATGGATGGATAAATTGAGATGACTTCAATTAAAGATAATTAGTCATATCATCTTTGTTCTTTGGATGTAGGTGCACTCTTTGGAGATGATACTGATTATCATACATGTAATGCTAAATGTGTATCAGCCAGAACAGAAGTACTTTTGATTGGAAGACAAGTCTTAAGTCATATGTTGGATTGGCATCCTGAATCAACATAATTGTACAGACAATAATTATGTATTATAAATCTAATTTATACTTTTAGAATACAAAGTTAATTGGAGATAAGAAAGATTGAATAATCTTATTGAAAGTCATGAGGAAACAACTAAAGTAAAAAGAACTCAATCAATTAAAATGTAATTATTGGATTTATTGATTAAACCAAAGTATTAAAATATTCGTCTCTCACCTTGTGTTAAAAGAGTCACTAAAATATAGAATATCATGGATTTTGAAGAGAAGAAACTTAAACATTAAGAAATCTTGGAAAAATAGAATTTAGTCATTTCTTAACGCAAAATTGAATTCTTTAAATTAGGTCTTACATTTACTGAAAAAGTAGAAAGATGTAAAAATAATAACAAGCAGAATTGAATTCCAAACTTTAGAGACAATATGAAAGTGTTATCATCTTAGAACTTCCTTTTGAGAAACTCAATAGAACATCAAGTACTATTTTGACCAAAATATCATAAAATACTTTTAAATTATCATCTACCAAGTAACATAGAAAAGTTTTCTTAATTGAAGGAACAACCATTAATATTCATAATAGATAATGAACTATCATATATTTTATTATGAATAGTTTATAAATAATTATTACTTATGAGCAAAAAAATAAAAAATACTTAACCTCTACCTAAAGTCAATTGGAAGGATACTGATATGGAAGAAGAACTTACTATCAAAATACCTCATGCTAATTTAATTAATAAGATCATTGATCCAAGATCAAGTCCTTAAGAATTCTTTGTCCCAATAGTATATATATTATTTTATTGTAAGAGATTTCCAGCTCAATAACATATGAAAGATGCTGATGGCTTTTTCATACCATTACCAAAAGAGGATCCAAAAAAAAAACTATAACAATAACATCAATTTCAAAATAAAAGGTATTAAATTCAATTACAGGATTTAATATCTATTGATGATTTGGGTCAAGGTTCAAGTGGAAAAGTAATTAAAGCATTACATAGACCTACTAATTTGATTGTTGCACTTAAAGTATTCATAGTAAATAGTAGGCAATACAAGTAATGAATGATGAGAAGTTTACTAAATAAATTAATTTGGAATTAGAAACATTGGTCAGTTGTGACCATACTAACATTATCAGATGTTATGGAGCTTTTCTAGAAGGAGCTTAAGTTGCTATCGCTTTAGAATTTATGAATTTAGGCACTTTACAAGATGTAATTAAGAAACAAGGAAAAATTCCTGAAGGAATGCTAGGATTAATAGCTTATTAACTTCTTAAAGGTTTGGATTATTTACATAGAACAAAGAAAATCATACATCGAGATATCAAACCTTCCAATTTATTGATAAATAGTTAAGGAGAAGTCAAAATATCTGATTTTGGTGTTAGTGGTTAATTACTAAACACTTAAGATCAAAGAAGTACTTGGGTTGGCACAATTACTTATATGTCACCAGAAAGATTTCTTTGTGAGCCCTACTCTTCTAACACAGATGTTTGGTCTTTGGGACTCTCTTTACTTGAATGTGCTTGGGGAGTTTTTCCATATCCTCATCCTGGAACCAACGAAACAACTCACTCTTTAGGATTTTGGGAAATCAAAGAATACATAGTTTATAAATCAGCTCCTCCTTCACCTCCTGATTTTTCATAAATTGGGGCTGATTTTATAGCCAGATGTTTATAAAAGGATCCAGGATAAAGGAATAGTGCTGCAGAATTATTGGTATAAAAATATAAATTAATTTAAAGGAACATCCTTTTATAAAATAATATGAAGATGTGAGTCTATAATATTTAGAAGGTTGGCTTAACATTAATTAATGATTTAAAATTATAATAATACATCATTTAAGATGTTTCAAATCTGAACTTGATTCTATATTCTTGACCATCATTCCTAATTAATTGTTAATTTCAATTAATTGAGGTAAAGTGCATTTAAACACAATATCCTTGTCTTTAGTATCTGTAGATTTAGTGTGTAATTATATTTTATATATTTCTTAATACACTTTATTAGCATATTTAGAAGACACAACTATTTCTTATTGCCAATCGACATCTACTAAGTAATTGAAACCAATTTTTGATTCAAAATTGGCTGCTATTATAGCATTATCAGGATCATTGATAAATTATTTGAACTAAGTAAATTTCTTAATATATCCATCTACTATAGTTTGATCAAATCCATAATCATATAAATTTGTAGTGATTTCAATTTCCATTAATTATAACTTAATACATTGAACTGTGAATAGTAAAATTAAATTGAATAATTCATTTGTTAATGGTTCTGTATTTAATTGATCTAATATTTTTGTATTATTTTCTTCTCCAGCTAAATTCATAAATACACATTTAGATAATTTATCAAAATTTTATTAAGCAAATGGATCTTTAGCTAATAAGCTCAATCCTTTTGATACTTCTTCAGGTATATTTTTGGTTTCTTAAATATTCATATTTTCTGATTTTAATTTTATGTCAATTATTTATAAATATACCTAGATTTGTATATATTATAAACAGATAGGATGGTAGTAGAAAGATTAATGAATTATTTTATTTGAACAATTAATTAAAGTTAATAGAATAACTTAACAAATTAAAGATAATAATATTTATAATGATATTAATAAATAATAATAATTTATACATGACAACTGCTAAAATCTCATCAATATGAAATTAATTTATCATATTCAAACTTCATCTAATATTAAATATTTTCTATTTTGAATTTATTGAAAAAAAGTATCATTATTAGTGAGATAGTTATGAGATTAAGTTTTGTTTGAGATGACAATTTTTAGAAGTAGATCATTGAAGACAATGGTATTTGATATTTCCTATTTAATTTATTTATATTGATTTTAATTTTGTAAAATTAGTTAGATTGATTAGTATATGTTAATTTAAATAATTAATGGGCAATTGTTGTAAATAAACTGGTTAAAAGAATTTCTCTTCAATTCAACTCAATGACCTTTTACAAAGAAAATCTCTGCTTCTTGAGTAATTGGAAGTAATTGAATAATTAAACTTCAGCAACTTTAAAATCCAGTTTATAATCAGACTTCTCTTTAGGTAAAGATGATTACTTGGATAAAAGATTCTCATGATCTTTTTGATTATGAAAACTCTAATCGAATAACTTAATCTTTGACAATTAATTCTTCTATTAAATTGTATAGAGATAAAACGAGTGGAAAAATATAATCTACTCAATAAGGAAAAACACTAATAAGGATTGAAAATAGACAAAATTGTTTTTGGATTGAACCTAGAGTAAATAATTGTATGTAAACATTAGCAAATAAAAAATGATGATCATCATGTTTGGTTAGTTATAAAATCAATATAATAACAAGATAATGGTGTAAAATTATAATATAATGATGTGATAAGGGTTGGGAAGGTTGAAATAAAATTATAAGAATTTCATTTTGATGTGAGTGAGAAAAAATTAGATGAAAGAGAAACAATTTTAAGTTAAAGTGTTGATGAACAACGTTGTAGAATTTGTCTATTAGGTTCTGAAAGTATAGATGATCCTAAAATTGAACCATGTAATTGTTCAGGAACTATGTCTTTGATACATTTGAAGTGTTTATAACATTGGATTGTTACTAAATATAACATGGAAAGTAGTAATGCTATTGTATTTCTATGGGATTTAATGAAATGTGAATTATGTCAAAGTAATTTTAAAAGAAAATTATAATTAAATGGTCAAACAGTTGATTTAGTAGAATTAAGTAAGAGATAATTCTAGAGTTATGCAATATTAGAAATGAAGAAACCATTGATTAAATCAAAGGAAAGATTAACATATATTCTCAATTTGGAAAAACTTGAATAATTTAAAATTGGAAGAGCAAATGATAATCATATTCGATTATGTGATATTAGTGTTAGTAGATTTCATTGTAAATTAATATTGGTAATTCATGTAATTATAATTATGTAGCACAATCAAGAATTTTATATTTATGACAATAATTCTAAATTTGGTACTCTCCTTAAGTTGAAGTAATCGATGCCATTATTGAAAGAGTTTTAGAATGTACAAGTTTAAGTTGGGCGAACGTTGTTTGAATTCGAGAACGTAAGCAACAGTTACTCCAAATGATTATTAAATTAATTAATGTCATTTTCTGAATAATAAGGTTAAGAGTTGCAGATTAGAAAGGCAGACTTAGATGATTACGATGAAATTATGTAATTGATGTAAGAAGAAGGAGAAGAGGATTTATAATAACTCTATGCATATCCTAAGATTCTTACATTATTTGAAAGATCTTATTTGTCAGTGACAGTTCTTGATTCATAGAATAATATTATAGGAAGTGCAGTATTTGATGATTGTCCATAAGGAGTAACAGGATAAGTTGATTTTAAACATGAAAATTTATGGGAATAATGGATTCATGATGGATGGGACATTGGGTTTCATGTAAGCTCATTCAACTGTCTTTGGATGACATTCTTTTTTCTTGGTAATCTATTTATATCTAGATATAGCAAGGAAGCGATTCCAATTGACTGAAGATCAACAGTTACAGATCACTAAACAAATTTTTTAAAAGGTTTATGATTATTTGAATGTTGTAAATGGCATTTTCTTTTTAAAAAGGAGTGAAGCTAATGATGCCACTCAATAAGAATTAGATATTGCTTTAGAAAATTTATTTGAAATTCTGCCAAAAAGACAAGATTTCAAATTGAAAGTATAAATATAATACACTATTATAGTTTATGTAAGGAGTAAATTAGAATTGTGAGATCTATTATTCAGCATCTTCTATGGTAACTGAATTATTAGAAATAAGAATGGCACGTGAAGAGGATCATGATGATTTAGCTGCTATCTTTAATCGTTAATCAGATGTACATACTGAAGAATTTGGTGAATTTTTTATTGCTGATTTAATTGCAACTCAAAATCAAACTAGAAGATAAGCAAGAAATTATAGAAGTGATGGAAAAGCAATTGTTGGATAAGTTGGAGATAAGGCAGTTGGATTAATGAGTATTTCAAGTGATATTGAGTAAGATATTTGTATAAATATTAGTTATCGTCTACTTGGATAGTGTTTTGATTTAGAAGTATTTGACAATCTTTACAAATCAGAATATATGGAAGCAATTAGAAATCGATTAGATTAAATAGCACTTGAAGAATAAATCAATAAACAGATTATTACTTATAAGAAACATATTGAATTAACTAAAGAAGCTATGAAATGTCATATTATTGGACAAAGACTCTATTTACAATAGTATTGTTTTGATAGAGATTAAGAGATTAAATAAAAAATTGATGATTATGGATAAGAAGACTTAGCTAAAACACTTACATAATAGGTTGTGACTAATATGATTAATGGATGGTTAAAAGATTATTAAGTATTTAAACCAAGTGATTTATTTTTGGAATATCCTGATTCATTCAAAGATTTAGAATGTATAACTATTAAACCCATCCAGGTATTATTGGAAGCTCTTGAATTTTTTGGATTACCAAAAGGATATATGAATGGAGAAGGTCATTGGAAAGATTGGGCTAAGAAGAAGGAAGAAGAATAAAAGGCTCTTTCTCTCAAAAGACCAAAAAGATAACAGAAGAAAACTAATAAAAAAGCAAAGAAAGAAGATAAGGATGAAGACATCTTCAAACCCCCTCCTTATTTTGATTTGGGACCATTCTTATTAGCATTTACTAAATTTACTTCTGTCTCATCTGAAACAAGAACATAATTTAGAAAATAAATTGAATCAAGAGTTAAAGAGTTAATAATGGAATTTTGTACTGAAAATGGAGAAATGGATCCTAGTCGTCATATAGATTTAATTGAATTTCCAGATGTTCTTAGAAATAAAGGATTTGATATAGGAGCACCTATGGGAGAAAATCTAGCATTTATATTAGAATGTTTTGGTGAATTAGAAGTAGATAATAGGATAATCTAAAAAATAAAGGAAGAAAAAGATGCTAAAAAAAAGGATGCTAATCTTAAGAAAGTTGGTGATGATGCACCTAAACCTGTTGATGTATTGTAAAAAATGACTTCTTATAGTGAATTCATTGGAGCAATTTAAAAATTAAAAATATATGATTAAATGATGTGTAGATTATAATTAGTTCGATCAAATACATTATAAAATGAAGTAGAAGAAATCATATAAGAAGAATAAAATAAAATTAATAATTTAGAAAAAGCTAAAAATTGTGAAAGAAATTAAACTTAATTTGATGAACATGTTTCTTAAATTTAATCTATTGATTAATTACCAGAAGTTCCTAAAGCAGCTTAAAATGCTGTTGTTATCAATCTATTTTGTATAGATGAAAGATTTGAATCAAGATCACTTGATTTTGTAGAAAGAGCTTTTGAACTCTTTCCTGATAGAGAATATCTTATACTAACATAACCATATACAGTCTAAGAGACTACTCTGTTATCACACTTTCTATAGGTATAGAGAAAGAAACATTCTACTTTTGAACATGTTTTGTATATATTTCATAGAAATAGTTTAGATTCTCATTTGATAGAATTAAGAAAATTGAATTAAAATGAATGGAATTAATGTCAATTTTTAGTAGAAAATTTATTAGGAAAAGATAATATTGAAAAAGATGTTAAAAATGTAAATGATAATGAAACATTTATTGTTTATTGCAAAGATGAAATAATTGGATTATATTGTATGAAAAAGTATGTTAATCTATAATATTTAAAATCTCATTTTTGTATATAAGATCATATACTAATTAAAGAACATCCTAAACATTTACATACAAGATTATTACATGGAATATTGAATCCATTATTTGCTAAATAAACAAGATTTATTTTAAGAGAAATTTGTAGATTGATGGATAAAACATGTATAATGTTAGAAATTCATGATCGTACACTTTTACCTGATATATTCCATGAGTTTAATTTTGTAAGAAGTCGTGCATTCCCTCATTTTTTAAAATAGAAATGGGATTGGACTCTTGATGATGATTAAAAAGAACGAATGGGTACAATTTTAGATGATCGTGATCCATATGATTAATCTTAATCACCATTTTCTTTAGCAATGCTTACTAAAAAATAATTATCAAATGTTAAAATCTCTAATAATTCTCGTATTGTTGTTGTTGGAGCATCTGATACTGGATTATCTTTTATAGAATCATTACTTACAATAAAGGATATTCATTTTACTAATATTATTTTATTGGCTCCTGGAGGTTTAATAACAATGCATGTTAAACATGAATTTGAAATGTTAAAAGCAATGAGTACTAATTATACATTAGAAGAATTAAGAGCTTTAATGATAGATGCTAGAGTATAAGTAGTAGATGCTAAAATGGTAAAGTTGGATAAAAAGGGAAATAGAATTTAAATTGATAAAAATGCATTTATTCCTTTTGATTATCTAATTATTACTGTAGGTTTAATTGATACTGAATTATAATCAAGAGAAAAAATAAGTTTTGGATTATCTAAATCTCCCTATTATAAAAATTCATAATTTATAAATGGAGTGTATAGTATAGATGATCCATATTTATATTCTCATTTTAAAAGAACTGGATTCAAAGGTAGTAATATAGATTTATTAACAAGAAAGAAAAAACCATAAAATATAACAATTTATGGAAATACTTTGACTACAATTACATTCATGAATGGATTACTTAATAGAGGTGTTCATCCATCTCGTATTAATTATGTTATGCCACCAAAAACATTTTAAAAATAAACTAAATTTGAAAATAATAAATAAAGACTTGAATAAGAAGATAAAATGATATTTGATCCAGATTAATTTGAAAATGAGGAAGTCAAAAATAAAGTATTTGATATTATGTTAAAATTGGGTATAAAAATTCATTATGGATTCACATTATATGAATTAAAAGTAGGTAAGGAAGGATTTGGATTAAATAGTGAAGATGTATTATAAGAAGTAATTTTTAGAAAATAAGCAGACAATTATGAAGAATTAAAAATTGAGATTTAAAGAAAGGAATAAGAACTTTAAGAATTTAAGGATAATTCTGAAAATAATATGAGTAAAGATATGTATGGAGAATAAGAGGAGGGTGAAAACTAGTTAGAAGTATTAGCTAGAGAAATTGAATAACTTAAAGCAAGTGAATATGATTATTTATAATTGGATTCAAGATTTTTTATAACAAGTGGTTTGATTGATATTGACAAAGAAATCTTTAATATCATTCATGAAAATGGTTTAGTATATAATGGTAGATTAATTGTAAAGAGTAATTTTTAAACTACTTAAGAAAATATATTTGCTTGTGGTAAGATTTGTGAGTTCTCTTAAAGATATAAACATCATTCAGTTGGTAAGAGTTTAAGATTAGATAAGTATAATGGTAGAGAACTTGGTTAAAAATTGAGTAAATGCATATTAGAACAATTAAATTTAAGTTATTTAACTTCTTAAACTTATTCAGTAGATGAATTACCTTAGTTGTATATGCCAATTGGTTAAGGTGGAATAGTCCCTTACAAACTTTATTATTATTATATTAAAAAGAATGACTTTTCAAAACCAAAATAATTACAATAATAACCATCTAAACCAATAGTATCTGATAATTTTAAGGATTCTCAAGGTCATTTCCTATAATTTGATGTAGATCCAAATGGACTTATAGAGAGTCTTACTTATTTTGGTTCTGAAGCTGTTCATATTCCAAGTTTAATACATTTCATTGAATTATCAGTAAGATATTTGAACAGATTGGATTAGAGAGGTAAATTAATTAGCAATGTATCTGAATTTCTATCTGAAAATTGGGCAATTGCTCTTTATCATGAATGGTTTAGTGAATTTAGACATATTACTAAGAGTGAGATGTTAAAAAATGAACTTATTGATCAAGTACTTGAGAAATCATAAGAATATGCAAGAGATGGTCGTTATATGGATGATAATTTCTTTGAAGAAATCAAAAAACTAATCACAAGAGACATTGTTGAAAATATATAAGTATAATATTTATTGTGATTTCTTTAGGAAGGTACCATTGAATTTATTAGATAAAATTAGAATCACTTACCTATGTATTTTGTTCCAAAAAAGAAACTTAATTGAAATAATAATTGAAATAAAATATTATGAGTAAAAATTCAAGGTTTTCATTTCCAAAAGCTCCTCGATTCCCATCACTTCGTTAAGTAAATGATATTCCATTTTATAACATTCCATCCACAATCAAAAAACGTTCTATTAGTCTTGGAGAGAGATTACCAATCAAAAATATATCCAATACACCTTCTCCTCAACATTATGCACTTTAAGATACAAAATCTTAAATGAAAAAAACATTCGGGATAGGCAGAGACGTAACTTATATTCTAATTTAGAGAATGTATCAACCAATGAAATCATAAAGTCAAACACCAGGCCCATAGGTTTATAAACTTCCAAATACTCTTAAAAAAATAAGTTATTCTATACGTCCTCGTTTGAAATTATAGACTGAATCTTCAATTACTCCAGGTCCAGGAACATATCATATTGATGTTAATAGATTAAAAACAATCTTTTGAGAATGAAAAAAATAATAATCTTATTCTTTTTGATTAATAAATCAATTATAAATTGAGATTACTTTAATCATTAATATATTGTAAATATGTTGTCTGTTTTACAAAACTAACATGATTTAATTTTTATAATATTGATTATTTCTATCATAATATAGTTTTATATTCTAATCAACCATAATATATATATATATTTTAACCATCTCTCATATTTATTTATATATTATTATCATTTATACAAATTAAATAAAATAATAAAAAAAAAGCTATGGATTTTAGAAAATTTTAAATTACTATCCTGAAATTGGTAGATATCTTTGGCACTCCTTATTTGCATTCTATTAAATTCAATTAAAAAATTTAAAAATCAATAATAGGAGGAATAACCTCTATATTTGTTTTAGTGATCAGCTTGGCCTATTTTATCTATGTATTTAATTAATGGATTACATTTTAAATTTTACCTAAAACTAATAACTCCATGAAGGTAGAACAATATTCAGAAATTCATTTACAAGATGAAAATCCCATCATCTAATTAAGTTATGGAAAATATTCTGAATAAAAGTTGGATCCATTTGATACTTAAAATAATATATTAATGCCTATTGGAATATATTTTATAGATGGTAAACCATAAAAACCTTTCTCATTATTAAACAACAAATAAAAATCTGATGTGTATCCAAACAAATTATTACCAAGTCTTAATACATTAACATTAGTGTAAAATGGTAATGCTAATTAAGACTACTAGAAAACAACTGAACTTGTAATTATGATTACTAAATGTCATTAAGAATATTTAAATGATGGTGGGAAATGTGCAACTGATTAATAAATGGAAGAATTCTTTGCAACAAGTGTTACATATTTAGATTTTTGGATCAATTTGAAATAATATAATTTCTAAACTTAATAGTTTGAAGTAGTAAGAAAGTAATATTATTTCTGGTTTGAATCTAAGTCTGCTTAATTAACTTAAATTATGATTAAAAAAGCATATTTACATGTTGATAAGGGAATATTGTTTAATAGTTATAGTGATTACAATTACATTTAGGATACTTAGATAATGATGTCTACAACGACAACTAAACTTTGGGCACCTTTAATTTCTGGTGAAACTTATTTAAGTTTAATATTTAGATTAGATCCAGTGTCAGTTGATATATAACTTGTATATTAAAAATTGGGTGAGGTATTGGCAATGGTTGGTTCAATAGTAAATTTGTTAATGATAGTAAAATATGGAGCTTAATTTTATAATGAATCATTATTAGAAAATAAATTGACAGATAAAATAATTAAATATTATTATTCTGATTTTGAAGAACTCAAGACTTCCTAAGATACATAAACTAAGCTTTATTATAATTAATTAAAAAAGCAGGCTAAAAAAAAGTTAATTTTTCATAATATTCTATATGAATTGTCAAGGATTTAGCTATTCTTATTCAATTAATATGGACGTACATAGATAGAAAATTCTCATTAATTAAAATTTAGATTTTAAGATTTTAAAGTAGATTTTGAAGGTGAAGTATTTACTGCTAAGTAATAATAAACTTAATTAAATTTAATTGCTCATGAAAGTACTTCAAATTTCATGTTAATAAGTATTCCTGAAAAAGAAAGGACTAAAAATTAAAGAGATGATAAAGTACATCCAGAAATTAGAAGTAGTATGGAATAACAATCTTTTAGAATAGAAAAATGATTTTTAAGTATTATACAATTTATATGAATTTGATTTAAAAATTGAATTGATAATTTAATTATTAATTATTGATGATAGAATGCATAAAAAAATAAACAATAATAATAATATTCATGATTATTATGATGGTCGTTCTTCTTTTGGAAGATTGGCATGATAGATCTTTTCCCAACTAATAATAGTGTTATCAAGATTGGTTATACTCTAATGCAAATAGCCATCCTAATGGAATGATATTCATATATTTACAAAAAATGCATTTAGAGTAAACCATAAAGGTCTTACAATAACTTTAAAGAATCCCATTTCAGATTTAGCCATAATATGTATTTTATCTAAATCCTTTAAGAAAGGTGTTTATGGTATACCCAATCTACCTTCCTCTTCATATTAAGCACTAAATTCTTTATTCACTCTTTCAGACCAAATTCTAGAGATATCAAAAACTTTAGCTCCTCCATTAAAATCAGCAGTATGAATTATCATTCCTGTTAATAATTTAAGATCGTCATCTCCAGTTCCAAATGGTTTAGCCACATCTTCTTTAATTCTACTTTCAAAATCTTTCAATAGAGTAAAATGAACTTTGATATCTGTATAGAGAATATTGTCTATAAGAATGCGTCTAAATTATTAATGCTATTCTTTAGTTAGATTACTTAAGAAATTGAGTGATTAATCTTTAAGCATGAATATTGTAGTAGCTGCATGATGTTATTCAAGAGGCTATATAATAAATATATTCTTACACTTGAATCATGATATCTGGTGGCTAATTTAGATTGACTATTAATCATAAATACATTTGTTCTGCCTGTATGTGAAACATCATGACATAGACCAGAAATGATAGTCGCCATTCTTCGAAAATCATCAATAAATTATTTAGCCTTTTCACATTATAACATGAAATGAGCACTTTACATAACAGATATACCATGATCATAATTATGAAATGAATTATTTTTCTTATTATATTTCTTTTATAGAACACTTAAAAATTAAGCTAAACATTAATTATTCATATTATATTAAGTAATAAATCCATTCTTTTCTAAAATACTATATACTAATCTATGTTTTTCTTATGAAGAATCCAAAGTTAAAATGTTAAATTCAAATAAATCTAATTAAGAATCTCTCTCACAAATTTTAAATTAATTTATATCTACCTACTCTAATTATTATTAATATTTGATATAAACACTAGAACTAATCTTCTTTTTCTTTTAAGGTGGAATAATCCATTAATCAATTTATATATCTTTTGATTATGAATCAGAACCCTTTACATCAGGTTTACGATGTCTAATCTATTATAATTCATTTTCAGGTATAAATAAAGCTATCATTGAATTTGCTACATCTTGTGTTTCATCTAATTAATTTAGAAACTTAAATGTTTGATGTTTATTATATTGAATTAATATCTATCTTTAAATATCTTCTTCAAATGATTTATTAACTTCAGCTTCCTTCTATAAATCATTAGTCATGCTGTCTATTTTCAAAGTCATAAAATAATGTTTAAGTCTTCTTGCCTCATTTTCATGGAATATTACTGTAAATCCTTTAAAGTCATTATCAATCACTTTGAGAAATATTTCAAATTAAGGGATTTCGAGGTTGCTCAAATATTGATTTTGCCTATTTTCATGGATATTCTAAATATTCACCTCAATATTGGAAATGATACTGTTTTAAGCGAATATATCCTGATAAGTAATTTTATTGTATAGAATTGCTTTCGGATCAAAATTGATATTATATCTTTATCTAATTATATTTATATATATATAATTTACTTCAAAGATTTAGAAATAGGTCTACTTAAGAAAATCAATTCTCCTTACTTATTAAAATCAAACAATAAAGAGTCAGTAGTTCTAAGGAAATACTTATAAAATGCTGATTTTTCATAACATAACTTTACATAACCATCATATTTCTCTAATATTTAGATTATCTAATTATATATTATTATATTTTTACAAGAGAATATAAATGTTAATCTTATTCATTTTTCAAATCCATATTCTTAATACTAAATGTTACTTGATTTGAATCTTTTAATTCTATTTTTAATGAAGATAAATCTTTGTCTTTCTTAACAACTGTTTAATTTTATTGTTCCTATTCAACTTCATATTTTACACTCAAAATTTATTTAATACCTTCAATCAATAAAAATCTTGATATTCTCATAAACGTAATTCCTATATCCTAAACATGATCAGCAAAACGTAATGGATTAAAGAATTATACTTTAGCAGTTATTATAGTTTCAACTAAGAATTATGCTAAATGAGTAACATCTGTATTAAATCCATAGATATTTGCATAACTAATTTAAATTAAATTGGTTATTACTTAATAAAATTTCTCTTGATATTCTTTTTATCCTTATCTGTCCAATGCAAACAAAAGAGAACTTCATAATTTTTAATATGCAATTAAAATTTAACAATAGATGTTTATGCATATGCATTAGTTTTACAGGTCTCTTGGATTTGGGGATATTGATTATGTTTTTAATCTACCCTATGAATATAGGATGGTCGAATATATGTTAATTCATCATTAACTTTTTAAGCTTCTTCTAAAGTGACATCTTTAATGGAATCATTGGCTGAAGAATATACTTCCCAATCCTTGTCTCGATGAATGAAAAAAGTAAATTCATCTGCATCGACAAGTATTTTGAGAAGGAATTTCAGCACTTAATATAAATTTTCATAAGAAATGTCTTCTTGCATTAAAAGTAAATGTGTATGCAAGTTGCCAGTAAAAATATTCTTTAATTCTTTGTAGATTTCATCTATTTGTCTCTTCATTTTGTCATACACATCTTCTTCACTTGAATCAGCATCTTTTTCACTTATTTCTGCTAATTTATTATCGTCACCTGTATTTTATATATGCTAGCCATTTAGATCTCCTTATTCAGATGTAAGTTGTAGTATTAAATTGCATAATTACAATAATTTATCTTTATCTTCAGGTACAAGTAAATTATGTTTGTCAATATGCTTATTCAATAATTCTGTTAATTGATCAATCATCACTGCACCTACACCTGCTAAAGGTTGAGGAATTGATTATTCTTGCTTATTTGTATTCTATTGTTTATCTTCATCCGTGACATCTTTCATAAAATGTACAGTCTTGGATTTATGTTATCTTCTTCTTTGTATTGCCTTATTTTATTCATCTAAATAATCTAGTAATGCCTATCGTAATTGCATTTCCCTAATTAAATGAGAAGTTTCAAGAATACTTTCCAGGTCCACTATTTTGAATGAGAACGCGACATATTTTTTCTTCTTTGTGAGTAAGACTAGATTTGAGGAGAGCCTTCTGTTCAGAAGAGATTTGATTGGTCTTACAAAGATTGGTGACAACGATGAAGAATTATGTGTAGTGACTCAATTATGGATCCATTTTTATAATTTATAGGGTCGTTTCAAGTAATTTGAACTTCCCTTATAATATGATTGTGAACGAGGTTTCACAATTACAGTTTCTGGAGCCTCAGTAACATGCTTCTTGAACTCTTCCAATCCAAAACGTTGTTTCTATTAGATTAGATTGACATGTTTGTGTTTCCCCATAGAAATAAGTTTGGACAATTTGTTGTTCAATTTCTCCTCTAATTTTGGAGTATTGTCACTAAATTTAAATGCCTTCAATTCAGGTTTAGGACATCTATCTCCTGAACATAGAACTAAACCAAAGCCTATTGGATAGCAACGAATTTAGAGTGGACGATTGCAACAATAACTATAAGGTACTTATTTAGAATTCATGAAGAAAATTGTGTATGTTTTAGTATACAAATGTTGACAAATAAGGATGCTATGTTATCTAAGTTAGATTTCAGGGAACATCCTCATTATTAGATTTTGTATGTAGATCGATTTCTCATCACTTGGAGAGAGGGACTCTGTTTATGATTCTACATGAACTAAACACATAATGTGAAAAGTCTACTGGCATTAAGTGTCTCTTTGAGTGAAGGTTCATAGATATGGTAATAAGGCTTATCATCTAAGTTGGGAAGTAAAGTGTTATTCATTTTAATAAAAATATCATTAGATTTCCATTTTCTATTGAAACAATTTCTCAAAGACAGCTCCAGGTCCTGATGGGTCCTAGAAGTTGTGCAACTTAAGGTTTTCTCTACATTATTAAGATATATAATAAACTTATTGTAATCTCGAACATCTCTGCAACCTTACATTCCTCTTAAATACTTTAGTAAGGATTCCAATTCTTTATCTTCCTTGTTATCATAAAAGGGAATGATAGGAATCCCATTTTCTAATTGCCATGCATAAGAATATGAGGCATTGTCAACTAAAACTAATTGACTTAATGGACGATCAAATATTCTTAAATCCTTTGTATACATTCCTCCAGTTGTCATTATGCAATTATCACGATATAAACTATGTGAGATTAATGTCTTATTGGGATCAAGATACTCAATAACCTTTTGTGCATAACAAGGATGAGAAGCAGTGAATATGATCAATTCAAAATCATTGACCAATAATTCAAGTAATTTTATAGCTCCAGGTCTAATATTAATTCCAGCTTTAATAGTTTCTTAAGGTGAAACTTATATAGTAAGAATAACATCACTAGGAATAGCTAGACTCTCATTGCAATGTACTAAAGTTTCATCAAGATCAAAGACTATACTAATTTTATCTATAAAATATGTTGAAATAGATTAGATACTTTTATAAATATCCTTTTATTTAAGATGTACTTATTTATTTTTAAGATCTTTTGGATCAGCTGGTGATAAATATGAAGCAACATATATTCCTTAATAAGTTTAAAAAAAATGCTCCCTATACATTCTACTAAAATAATCGTCATGAATAGGTTTGGTGAAAGCATTCTTAACTTTAGTTATATAATATTGTGGTTGATCTGAATTTAATTTCTTTGTACTCTCAAAATATTTGTTGACACTTAGACTATCTTTTCCAGCACTTTTAGGTGTAACCTATTATGATTGTGTTTTTGGCTTCTAAAATAAAGCACTCTAAAGCTTTTTTAATATAAGATCCTTGCTTTAACCTACAGATTGCTAAGGACGATGATGTGCTTTCTTTTCAGTTGATGGTCTATATGATTAAGTTCCAGTTGGTGTTGGAGGTTTAACAGGTAATTGAATGTCTAATTATGGTGAGACTTTGGTGACAAGTTGACTTAAAATCTTAGAGGATTGAGTAGGTGTGATTATTGGATGTTAAACTTTACCTTCCTTCTTTTTAAGTAATTAGAAGTATTTTTGCATAGCAGCATTGACTTCTGAATTGCTAAGCTTTTTGGCTGATGACTCACGATTTGCTTGTATTTTTTATGGCAAATATGACTTTGAGAGATTAAAATCCATTAAATATCGTTGTGGTTTCATATATATTAAATTTATGGTAACCTGATTGACAGGTTTCCCTATGATTTATGAATTATATTGCTCAATTTTTATACATTAGGATCCATTCTAATTTCATCCATCTATTACATCATACGATCATGTAATTTTCTAATTCTACTTGTTGGCAAATGTAATGTAGCATTTGGAAGCTTAGTAAATTTTTATTCAACTTAAATTTGAGGGGGATCCTACATACTTTCAGCTTTTCTCTTTGTCTTCTTTGGTTTTATTAGTAATTTGAATTCATCTTCCTTGAATTTCCTAACACTTTTAACTTTTTCTAAAACAATTGAATTTTCTCTATCATTTCTTGGTGAACCTACTTGCAATAATTGAAGCATAAAATTAAACTTCTCTTTATTTGTAATGTTGTCATCATTCAATTTCTCTTACAATCTTTTCCTCTAAATCTATTCTCCTAATCTTTTAAATAATCCATCTAATGTTGGAGGAGTATTTACAGTTTCATCCTTCTTTGGTTTATAAGTCATTTAAATGTCAGGATTATGAAGTAATTAATGAAATGCTAACTCATTTAAATGATTCTTAGCATTCTGATGACATGATTAATTAGACATCCTAAGTAATTTACATAAATTGGAGAATGGTACATCATATTGCCATGCCTAAAAAGTAATATATAGTTGGAGTAACTACTCGTAATAATTTAAAGATTCTCTCTAATGTTATGAATTCTTCTCCATCACGAATCAAATTGAAAAGATCTTACAACTAGTTCTAACATTCAAGTGGATAACCATGTAAGTAACATTATGAATTCATTTAATTTATATAACTAAATTCATTAATTTTTCCTCCTAAGTTTTTCAATCAATTATGTAATGGCTAAATGAATCTTTGACTTTATTTCATCTATCTTAGCATAGAATTCTTTAATTGTTTGTAAATGATCTGTACGATAACTAAAATAATATTTGATTCAATAACCTTATAGTTCTATAGACTTCTTGTAAGACTGCATTAACTAAAACAGTTGCTCCATAAGTATATGTAACAAACACAAGTGATGTTATAATAATCATAGTTTAAACTTCATAATCAACAATTTTGAACCAAATTTTAAAATTTCCTAGAAAGAACATTCCACAAGTAGAAATGAAGGATCTATAATAAGTAGTAAATTCATCAAATCTTTAGGAGAATAATTAATAGAATATAAATGCATAAGAAGCCAATATAGTAATGGCAAAGATAACTATTATTATATATTGATTAATAATTACTAATCATAATGATATTTTCTGCTCCTTTTGCAGCCATAGCTTAAACAAATGCAACAGATTCTGAAATTTAAAATAATTTAAGAGTGTTAAAACCTACTAAAATTATTAGAACTCCTCTAATTATTAATCCATTATTAAATTAATTTGCATAATACATAATTGAAGATTCAGCAGAATTTTGTAGTATATCCAATGAATCAGAAGGAATTGATGAAAACATTAAGAAACTTACTAATTGTAAAATAAATATTGTTAATTGATACATTATACCAACTTAAATAAATGCAGTAAAATCTCGTCTAAGCTAAAAGTTCTAATATTTTTTATTAATTGAATTTAAGGTCTCTTTAACAGCAACAAATATCATAATTGAATTTAAAATTCCTGATATTGCTAACATAATATATTCAGTAAGCCAGAAATTAGCAGCTTCTTCTGGTTTTAGACATCGAAAACTCTACATATGTAATTATTGGACAATTTCATAACTAGGAGCAATTTCAAAGAAATAATAAACAACATAAAATTATTCTCTACTATCATCATATATTACAATATTGAAAAGTACCATTTTAGTTGTAAAAATATTAAACATACCTTAAGATTTATGTAATTAAACTTTATCATCAACATATTCATAAGAATCATAAGATTCATCAAAACCACCTCCATCATAATTTGAGAGAATTCCACTAAAAGGAAATACACCAGATTCTTCTGCTGTTTTATATTCACCCCATGGATAAGTGTTACCATCAGTAGCTTTTATTTAAGATTTTAAGGCATTCTTGTCACTATATATAGAATAATAACATTCATTATATCCAGATGCAAGTTCAATTTCATTACAAGTATAATTACTACTTTATACCTAAAATACTTTAAATTTAGGTCCCATTTAAATAAATTAGAATTGAATTTTAATTTCTTCTTAAATAGATCCATCTGATTAAGTCACATTAAATTTATCCACTATTGTAATTAAATTAATCTTTTTATACAAATCATCTATAGTAGATACAGTATTCAAACCATATTTAACTTCAAGTAGATAATTATGTAATGTTAATCTAACTTAAGATGTTGTTTCATAATCCATAATATTTTTTGAATTCATATATATTAAAATAAGTAGAGTAGCTGATAAAATCAATAGAAATATTTTCCAACCTATACTGATATTAGTACTTTCATTATTTTCTTCTTAATCTTATTTTTCATAAAGTTTTAAACCAGGTTAAACATCAACAAAATCATCTAATTCTTTTCTTATTTATTTAATATTTTCATCATCCTAACTAGTTTATTAATTTCTATTTGGAAGTGAAATATTAATTTTTTATTCATCAAGTAAAAAGTTTGTAGCCAATTATTTACGATATACATATAGACATGCAAATTAGACTTATTCCTTATGAGCAGAAAAGAAATTCTCAGCTGAATAATTCATTAATAGATCCATACAATTACAATTTTTATCAACCATTGTATATTCACTTCTAGACAATTCCCAATATTAAACACTCCATTCAAATATTTATTATAATGTTGTTGTTTTTTTAATTAGAAATGTTACACATCTATATGTTACAGAAAATCCATCATTAAAATCTTAAGTTTCATCTTCACTCCATTTGGTTAATACATATTTATGAGGATTTTCTAATAAAAAGACTGCTACAGAATTAACATCCATTTTTTAGTTTGATTTATTAGCTAATAAATACATTCTAGTTTTCTATTATGTAAAGAAATTCTAAAATGTTTTTCTTAGTTTCACATCAGTTTATTCTTAACTCTTCTTTAAAACCACTTATTCTTATTCTAATTGTTCTTTAATTTTATCTGTTCCTAAATCTTTTCTTTATTTTAAAGATTTCGAAAGACCTTCAATTTGAGTATTCAAATGAAAAAGCTGATGACTTTTATCTGCATAATACTTATCTAATCCTTCAATTTCGTCTTACATTTTACCAATCTTTACTAAGTTTCATAAGTACCTTTGATTCTAGAGATTTTATTTCCTCCTCTAAAGACTTCGTAGACATTTATTAATTAAATATTATAATATTTTCTATAATTCAAATAAACCTTTAATTATATAATCATACTTCAATTAAATCTTTTGTCTAATTAGATAATTTAAATATATTCTTAAATTATGATATAATAATCTTTTCTTAAATTTTAAATTTTCCTTGCTAATTAAACCTTGAAGTTTATTGTCAGTTAAAAAATTTCATGATTTAATATTATTCTATAAGTAATTAATGTATCATTACTAATCTGTACAAATGGTTCACTTATAAAGTAGTCTAAAATAACATGTAATTATCCCTTTTTTAAGAATTTCCAATCTGCTTATTATAAATGTTTTATTTTCAAAGGGAAAGAGATAGTCAGTTTAATAAGACTGCCAAGATCATTATTATAGATTTCAGAAGTGATGAAATTATTACTATTATCTTAAACTATAAATATATATCAATGATTATAAGTTAAATTTAATAAGGAACTAGTTGGGATTTCTCTTATTCTATAAAACAATAAATAAGTATATTGGGAAACAACTTTTTCTGCCTATTATGGTTTTATCTAATCATCATCACAATGTACCCAAACATCTTTCTAATCAATATTTTTTAATACATATGAAGTATAATGACCTAATTTTACATAATATAATTTTACCATATTGACCATTTCCAAAATGATTAGCTACTGCATATAAATCATAAATCTTATTACTATTCTATCCAATCTACCATTATTTTAAATTTAAAGATCTTAAAGGAAAATCTATATCTGATTCTATTTTTTCTAAATAACCATCTCTATATTAAAATCTCTTTAAATGTAATATTAAAATATTAGGTGTATGTCCCAATGATAATTTGACTATTGCTTATTACTTTGATTGACATTAATCACAATTTATTTCCACTTTTTCTTCTTATGTTAAAATTGAAAAACATTAATCAGGTGTTACTCTATCTTTTCTATTATTTTTGTTTTCAATTAACTATTAATAAGTTTCATGATGTGAAACTACAGTTGAAAATAAATTAAATGCTAAAGAATCTATCCAATCCAAAACTATACAATAATTCTAAGGTAATTGTAAAAACATAGGATCAATTTCACAAGAATAACCATTACAAACATTATATCTATTACACGAATTTGATGTACTTTTTTCACAAGCTAAACAATTCATATTTTAGTCTAAAATTTTAATTTTATATGGAAAATCATTTGATTTAATAAAATTAAGTTCTTCTTAAAGTGATTCATAATTTGGTCTACTCATTTTCTTTTAATTAGGTTCCAAATCTTATTCTGTTCTTCTATAACTACTTTTTCTCATTTCTGCTTAACCTAAATATACACTTTATGCATTATATTTTTTAGAATGATGTAAATCATTTGACATATCTTAAGCTCCATTATAAAATTATACTTTCTCTTTTTACATCTTCTATATACAACTTTTCTTCTTTAAATAACCCTAAAATATATATATATAATAAATACAAAATCTATGAATCTTTTGGCTTATATATAAATTAAAGCTTAAAATTCTTATAAGGTAAGATGAGAAGATGGTACTAAAATTAAAAAAGGAAATGAGAATTTCTCATATTGTTCAGTTGCTTTATTATAATATCTATTTGTAACAGTAACTAAATTAAACTTTTTTTAATTCTATACTCTACTTCTAAAAGGTTATAATTAATATTAATGAAATGTTTAAATATTTTGAAGTGTAGAATTCTATTTTTTTATTTATACTTTATAATTCTTTTCATGATTCTTATCAATTATTGAAATAATTTAACCATGTCTCCAATCTCCTAATCTATCTTCAATATCAACATAATCAAAAGTTTGAAAGTTTTCTCTTCTATAAGTAAACATTGACATTAAATCTTAAAATTCATCTTCAGCATCTTTAACAACTTTAGCTACTTCAAATACATGTAATAATTAATTAGCCTTTAAACCAATTTATCTAATTGGTATTGAGGGATTTAGATTTCCAAATTATCTATGGATTTAATTTCTATATATTTCAGTCAATTCAAATCTTTATTATGATATTCCAGTCACTTTTTCTATTGCAATAAATAAATCTTTTAATAAAGCATATTTAGAAACTTTAATTCCATATTTATCTAATGGTGGAATCTCACTCTATAATGATAAACATTTCTTAAATAATATTATAAATATAGGAATTTCATCATTTATTGGAATTGGTAAACTTAATGTATAATATTCTTCACATTTTTAACTTTTATTTTAACAATTTAAACAAATCAAAGTATTTACTGTTTTACCAGTAAATAATTCTTTAACTACAGTTTCAAATTATTCAAAAGAATTATTAATATTACTTTAAACACTAGATTTCTTTTATAAATTCTTTTTTAATTCATCTGACATTGTATCTAAAAGCATATTAAGAAATTCTTATGCATCATGTTATTCAAAACCTGAAAATGAAGGTAAATTATGATCAATTGCTTTTTTAAATTATTCAGGTGCAAATGCTTTATCTTTTTAATCTTTTAATCTAATAGCTACTTTAGATAATTCTTCAATTAAATATGTAAATTTAGAATTCTTTTAAATTTCAGACTTAAATGCTTATTTATATAAATAATCATCAAATACTGGTGTATTTATTAAACATTATAATACTGTATTAATAAAACAAGTATTTCCTAAATTCAATAAACCAATATGATGAGGAATTAAAAAATAATTTGGTTCCTATTTTTATTTAGAATTTGGAGGATATATTCTTAAAGCTCTTTCTGTAGATGGTATATAGAAATCTCTTTAATAACTTTCTTTTTATATATGAAATCTAATAACACTAAAATCTTCTGAAAATCCATTTACTATACATAATAACCATTCATTAGATATAGGATGTTAAACATCATATAATTATCCTAATCCACATCCAACTTATTAAAATATTGATTTTGGAATCTTTCCTTTTAATACCAATGTTACAAAAGTACCTGATACAATTTATAAATCAAGTAATTTTAAATCCATATCTTCTACTAAAGTCCATTATTCATTTACTTTCATATAATACAATTAATAATCATATTAATTTTTTATTTTAAACTTTTTAACCAATTTATGCATAACATGATGCATAGATTTTCTTAAATTAACCATAAATTTATATGATCTTTTAAATGATAATTCTCCTTTATTTGTTGTAATATATCCTTATAAAACAGGAGGATAAAGATCAACAATCTATGTTTTTGTACGTTCATCATGAAAAGATCTTCTTTTATATGCCAAATTATTATAACATCCATACCATTATACTAATGAAAACCAAGCAGCTTCAGGCAATATTAAATAATCATGATTATTTAATATATTAGTTTTTAATTCCCCTTCATATTCACCTTGAATATCTGAATTATCAATTGAACCTGGTCTAATTGATGTTTGATTTTCAATTATATAAAATTAAGAACCATGAAGAGATTCATGTAATCCATGATTCAAAGTTAAACCTGGATTATAAAGATCTTCATTTTTCTCTTCAAATTAAGATCCTTAAACACCTTAATCATCTTATTAAGGTGCTATTATCTTTTATTCTTCCATTTCTTCTATATCTACTATTGATATATGGGCTATCTTTCGTTTTGGATTATTAACAAAATTATAATTTACATAAAATCTCCATAATTCCCACCATTTATAACTTATTACATAATATTTCTAAGATGATGCTGATGTTGATTATAACATTTCTTTAATTCTTTCTCTCTCCTTTAATGGACCAGGTAATAATTCAAATATTTCAAAATACCTTGTTAAATTAAAATTTGTGTCTATCCAAATTTTAAACATTCCTTTCTACATTTCTGAAACCTCAAAATCTGTTTTCTATAGATATTATCTATTTTCTTAAATAAAAAACTCCATCTCTGATTTACTCAATTTACCATCCTAATCAAAATCATAAAATGCCAATAGAATTTCTGCTCTGTCTCCCTCTTCTGAATTAAAGATTACACTCAACATAATACATAGTTCTCTGAAATCTATTCTTCCATTTTAATCAAAATCAAAACATTTGAACACATGCAACGAGTTTTCCTAATCCTATAAACTTATTACTTTATGATTTCAATTTTGGAAATAAAGTTCTGAATTTTAAATGATCCATACCATCAATTGGATTCACGGCTAAATATTTCTGTTTAAGCATTTATAAATATGATGATGGCCACATATCTAATAAAGTACTTAAAGGTCTTTCCTTCAACATATATAAACTTAATTTATCATCAAATTTTACAGTGGATTCTATTTGTTCCTTTTACCACCTGTACAAAAACCTCCCATCTTATCAAAATATTATTTATTTTTATATTTTATTAAAATAACATCCAAATGTTTTAATTTCTTCAAAAAATAGTATCACCATTCATTTTAAATCTTCACTCTTTTACAACAATAATATAATATATTATTCAAAAAGGAATTAACTTAATTTTTGTTTAATCTATAATATAATTCAAAGAAAATATAAAATATTAATTATAAATATCAATCACTATTTACAATATGTAATGAATAGTTTTTATCATTTTATTATTATTAACTTATGAAGTATTCAAAAAGATATTATTCATCAATATCTTAATACTCATCATTTATTATTTCTTCACTATAATTATCATAGAGATTGAATTCATTCTCCTTTTAAAAATCATCATTATATTATTTAATTCTCATCAATAGAACATTTTTTTTAAAAGAAATCTTATCAAAGATTCTCATAGTTTCTATAAAATTGTCTTAACTATAAATATTTCTAGAGTAAATATTAAACTAAAGTTAAATCTCTTTTTTTATCATTTTCTGAATTGGAATTAAAGATTATTATCTAAATTTCCTTTTGTTGTATTGTAATAAGGGTAAGCTCTTAATTTTTATAATCAGAGTATAATTTTTCATCTTAAATGGGAAAAATTTTGTTTAAATAAAATGAGTCTTGATCTATTCATTTATCTTTACAATACACATCTCTTTTATATAATACAGATACCCTCTACATCTTTAATCCTTTTTATACTGTGCCATTGACATAAAATTTCATAGTTTTTATACTAATATATGATTAATTTTTAGAAATAATATCTACGTATTTACGGGTAATATTTGATTTGAATTATTTTATCCAAAGAAATTAATATATTTATAAAAAAGTTTGTATTTCATCATATTTAATAACTGATAATTATTAATGCCTAAATAAGATTAAATCATAAATATTTATAAATAATGAGTGAGAAAAAATAAAAAAGAAAACAGAATGATAAAGAAGATGGAGAATGGAAATGCTTAGAGTGTTGCAAATCCTATCTATCCTATCCAGCCTTTTATACTCATTGCAAAACTAAGCATGATTCTAAATGGCCAAAGCAATATAGTACTCCAAGACCTTTGGAAGAAATAAAGCGTGATAAAACAAAACCTAGAGTAAAATACAATTGAAATAATAGACTAACATGGATGAGTAAAAATAACATGAGAAAGAAGATTAAATCTTTGAATTTTTGGGTAAATTAGGGTAAAGTAATGAAGAGGAAGATTCATCAAATAATTGCATTCGACACTATTTAAAATAACCCATTGATCCAATTAAATCATTAAATGATGATTTATTTTAAGGAACAAATTATTTAAACATTTATTAGCAAATATTAAAGGAATTGGAAGAATTAAATAAAAAAGTATTAGATTAGGAAGCAATATGGGATTTTAAAGATCCTCTTACATTAACAAATGAATTAGAAGAATTCACATTTTCTAATCTCAAAGGAATGTTTCACTAACTAGATGGCCATTTGAATGTAATTAATGTAATTGCCATTTTTATGGGATGGCTAAGTAGACATCTAAAAAAGAATGCTTATTAAGATATATCAATAATTAGTATTATTACTGCATATTTCTTCTAAAATTATTAATCATTAAAATCTTAAGAAGTTAACACAGAAGGAAAATTAGATTTAATGTCATTAGATTAAAATGAAGCATAACATGATGATTAACGTAAAAAATAATAAGAATATTGTAAAATTGATAAGTAGAATGATACTGATTTAAAAAAGGAGGTTTTATCATAAATGAACAGTTATTTGGTATTAGAATTAATATTATATTCATAGAAAAAAGAGTACAATAAATTTTAGAATTAAGTATCATATATTAGAACACCTGACATTGCCTAAGCTTTCTTTTGTTTATTAATAGATTGGATAGAAGCATATTCTGATCTAGAAGATTATATTGAAAAAGGAAAAGAAGTTCATTAGGAAAAATAATAATTGTAAAAACAAGATGAAAAAGGAGAATGATCTATAAAAATCAATATAACAAAATATATTACTCAATTATGATTTTTAATTTATATTTATTTTTAAATATCTATGAAATTTAATATAATAAAATATAAATTCATAATATCTACTTTCAAGTTATTCAACTAATTTGTTTAAGATTACTCTTAATAGATATCTTATATAGATTTAATAATTTATCTAATACTTATTTATAGTAGTAGATAAATTATAATTTAAATGAGTAAATATAAATATATAATTTTCATAAATTTCAAATTGTATCTAAAAATGTATCATTTAAAGTATATCTAGAGTGCTTTCTGAATATACTTATGGCACTTCTAACTTTGATAAGACATTCACTATGTTTTATATATTTATTATATATAAATCATATATGATATAGTTTCAACAAACTTCTTAAATAATGTTATCCTTCCAAATGCCTTGTGTTACTTAATTTCTACTCAAGAGAGAACCTGGACCATTTCTCTTTCCTTTTTTAAAGAAACCATAAAATTTAAAAGTTTTGGTTTCTTCAATAGCTTCTCCACTTACAAAGCCTTCTTCGAAATAACCTTTGTATCTGATATTTCCTTTATTCAAAATTCCTAATCCATGATATTTATCGTCTTTCCATTCTCCGATATAAATTAAATGATTGTCAGAACTGTAGAGTGTACCTTTACCATGCCTCATTTTATCCTTAGTTTCACCGTAATATGTGAGGCCATCAATATATTCGATTTTGTGAAATATATTTTGATCTTTCTATGGACTTTGGTTTGCTTTTGAAAAATGACTCTTTTGTCGAACTATGTTTGATTGTTCTGGGAAATAAGAACTAGGAACAGGTTCATTGGATTTAACTATTATGATGTTATTTAAATGTTTACAGTAGATATTTGAGTCTTGTCGATGTTGAGAAGAATATCGATCATTGAATGGTGGTGAAGTTGGAGAGCCTTAAGTATGTAGATATGAATTGGCAGGAGAAAAATTTCTATTGAGAGAATGATAGGGTACAAATATGGAAGGAGGGGATTAGATCAAAGGTGTCTAAATGAATAGATTTCTGTACATATTAAATTAAATAATACATGGGGAATACATGTTGTAATAATGAGACAATTGATACAGGTATTTATAGATATTATGAATATAACAGAGAAGTAACTAGATAATAGACCATAGAATCCTGGATAGTCATCTGATTAAATGCCAAATAATGTTGAGGAGCCTCCTAAACACATTATTTGTAAATTTAATGAATCTAGAATAGCCTATCCAACATTGTCAGTATAGCCATCATTATTCATATAAATGAAAAGAGACACAATTTATAGTACTTATTCAGTAGGGAAGTTATTGGGAGAAGGTTAGGATTTAAATGATATTCATATTAGGTGCTTATGGATAGGTTTCAATTGTAACGCATAGAGCAACTGGAATGTAAAGAGCAATGAAAGCTATAAGAAAGGATTGTCTATTTGAAGAAGAATAAGCAAAATTATTTTCAGAAATGACAATTTTGAAAAATCTTAATCATCCTCATATTGTTAATCTTTTTGAGTTATATGAAGATGAGAAGTTTTATTATTTAATAACAGAGTAATATTATAAATATATATATTGTAGATATTTAAGAGGAGGTGAACTATTTGATCGAATTTAGAAGGCTAAGAGTTTTAGTGAAGCAGATGCTGTTCGATATATGAAACAAGTTGTTTCAGCAGTTGCATATTGTCATTCAAATAATATTGTACATAGAGATTTAAAACCAGAAAACATTATTTTTGCATCAGAAGATCAATATTCAACATTGAAAGTTATTGATTTTGGAACATCAAGAAAATTTGATAAAAATTAAAATATGTCAAAACGATTAGGAACTGTAATTTACTTATATATATATTTAATAGCCATATTATATTGCACCTGAAGTCTTATAAAAAAAATACAATGAAAAATGTGATGTATGGTCTTGTGGTGTTATTCTCTACATTCTTTTAGCTGGATATCCACCATTCTATGGTAGAAATGAAGCTGAAATATTTGACAGAATTTTGAAAGGCAAAATACCATTTAATACTGCTGAATGGAATAAAATATCTAAAGAAGCAAAAAATTTAATTACTAATATGTTATGTTAAGATGTAGAGAAAAGATATTCAGCTTAATAAGTTTTGGATGATCCTTGGATGTAATAAGGATAAGAATAGAATCTGGTTGATGATAATTTCTTAAAAAATCTTACTGAATTTAGTGCTAAAAGTAAACTTAAATAAGCTTTACTTACGTTTATGGCTAGTTAAATGATTTAACCTAAAGAAGTTGAATAAATTTAATAGTTATTTAAATAAATGGACAAAAATAATGATGGAAAATTATCTAAAGAAGAATTAGTAGCAGCATTTTAATAAAAAGTTTAGAGTAAGGATAGATTAATTGAAAATATGGAAACTAAAATAAATAAGATAGTAAGTGAAATTGATGTAAATTTATCTGGTTATATTGATTATACTGAATTTATTATGGCCTGTTTAAAATATGAGAAATTGTTAACTATTGAAAAAATTAAATAAACCTTTAAAATATTTGATCTTGTAATTTTTATATTTATTATTTTAGGATGGTGATAAATATATATCTAAAGAAGAATTATCACATATAATGGAAGGAGTGGATGATGATATTTGGAAGTAATTTTTAGCTGAATGTGATCAAGATAATGATGGTAAAATTTCAGAAGAAGAATTCATCAATCTTTTATAAGATAAACTTTGATATTTCAACAGTTATTATAAATCTCTAATTATTCATTATATCTACTATCTATACTTTAATTAGATTCCATATTCAACTATTTTTTTAATTTTATTATGTTTGAAGAATATAAATACTTAAATATAAGTATTTAGAACTATGAATATATTTAAAGAATATATAAAATGATTATTTAATAGATAAATCATATATAGTATATGAATTTTTTCTCATTTGATTTTAATACCTATTCAATATAAATAATTTTATTATAAATTCTCATAATTAATAAATTCAAATATCTTTCATAAGGTTTTCTTTATATCAATAGATAAAATTTTTGTAGGATTTTAAAGAAATGGATAGTTGAATTTATTTCTAGAATTAGTTAAAAATAAGAATTAATTTATAGCTATTATGAGTAATTTTTAGCTAATTTATGTTAGATTGATTTATAAATAAAATTAATAAAAGATATTTTAGAATGACTACCCCAGAATCATTAAACCCAGCTCCTCTTACAGGTCTAGGAGATCACTCATACAAAAAGGTCATGGAAGATGACTATTCAACTGGAAAATTGAATCTCAAATTTAAGGGAACAACAAAAAATTTGGGTACTGCAAACTACAAAGGATGGTTAGATATCAGCAAATCATAATCTAAATAAGAGACTAAGTTCCAATTCCCATATAATAAGTATGAATATATAATAAAAATAAAAGTTATTTCTTCCAAATTGCCACAAGAGAAGATGGAGCTAAAGTCCATATTGATTTTGGAGAAGTAACCAAATTTGGAAATAATGCAAGAGTTAATCTATTTGCCAATGCCAAATTGGGTAGCTCTCACTTAGGATAAGCAGTACTTAGATTTGGTGGAGTGACTTAATGGAATAAATTGACTCATCATTTACGTAGATATTTATAAAATATAATTAGGTTTCGAATACAATCCAAATAATGCCTTAAATGTTTTTAGCAGAATATTTTTGAGAAAAAACAATTGGGTTTACGTATTTGCAGATGAACTTCAAATCACAAATGGATTTGGAGTAAAAAGAATAGACTTCATAATTGGACATACTACATAGAATTATGATGTTTTCTTTAGACATTTAACTGATTAACCACATCAAAATAAAGAATGGTCTTAATTGACAAATGGAAAAGTTATTCTTGATCTTGTATACAGAAAAAATAAAAATACTTTTGGATTAGAAACAGAATACAACTTAGCAAAAACTTAATTGAATGCTATGGTTGGTGTTGTTACAAAATTGGAAAATTTTGATGTAAAAGCAAGAGTCAATTTGACATAATAGAAACTTGGTTTGAGTGGAAAAGGTAAACTCAATGATAAGTATATGATTATAATTATATGTTTAGATTCAATTGGACTTTATCAACAGAAGTACCACTTAATGGAACATTACCAAGCAAATAAGGTATCTTCCCACTCCCCGTAGGATTTACATTAGATGCATCATTATGATCAATATTAGTATATGTATAGAAATAAAATTTAATTGTGATTAATAAATATATATATATTTGTTATGCAAAAATAAATTCTAATCAATAATGATTAGATTTTATATATTTGTTAATTAAATTAACCCATTATTGAGCTGGAACATTATTTTCTCTTTATTTGAAAATGTATTTCTTTTTGTTTCTATCTCCAACAATGAATTTCCCTTTTCCTAATAATTTACATGATGTAAATTAATTTAAAGGGATTACTGTCTAATAAATTACATATTGATAATACTTTTTTGTTATTTAATTAAGGATTAATATAGATAAAATTAGTTATTCCATCTTAACATACAATACTAGCATGTCTAAGAGAAAACTAAGTCATAAATAGAACTCCATGTTCTTTATCTAATTAACCTTATATAATAATTTAATCTGCTTTATGTTTAGTAACAGAAATTCCTCTAATATCATATTTATCACGAGATGTTTAATTATTTTCAATAAATGTAGTTTAAACTCTACTCATCTTCCTTTTATATGTATTTGTTGTATTTAAAAAAGGAACATCTTATAACCACATTTATTTAAAATTAATTCCTCTAAAAAATGGATGCTACTTAAGATTATCATAATTATATTGAGAATCTAATAATAATATGATTATTAAATTACCATTTAATTCTCCATAAAATCTTTTTTAAGGATCTTTATCAAGTAAAATTTTGATAAGATCCAAAGCATCATTAGGTATACTTTAATCTTATA